CATGTCAGGACAGCCATATTGGTGCCCCAACACAATGAAACGGCCGCCATGTTGGTGTCCCAAACCAATCCTGTGGGAGTTGAACTCTTTTCTTATGTAAACACTTTCTTTTGTTCGAATTAATTTGCATGGCTGCTGGCCACCAAAGTGAAAAAACTCTATAGTAGGACTCTAATGTGATTTGTAGGACGCCCATTTAGTAAAACCTTTAGTTAAACAGGAGTAGCTTATGGATAATGTCTGCATAAGCAATGTTATATTTTCTAGCAGGTAGTGTCCTAAACAGGATGTTTAATTGTATTATTCTTTCCTTTTATTATTATTTTTGACAATCAGTTTCTCTCCTTTAACCAAAGTCAATGATCTCCCCTCTTATGAAAAATAATTTAATTGCAATAGAAAATTCAAAGGCAGGCATTTGGCATTACTGGTATGTCTGTGTAGGTTTGTAAATTACAAAACACAAAAAATTTACCAGGAAATGCAACAAGTAAAATACAGCAAGCCAACATATTAGTCATATTCACATTTGTAATAGACTTATGATACATACATGTACAGCAGACATATGTACCAGAACATAACGTCTTGCCAAATGACAAACATTCCATATTGGCATACTGGAAAATTTAAGGTGGCTCTAAAAACCCACGCATAAGAACCTGGATTTTTCCAAGTTAGCCTAAACAGGTTCTATATACACAGTAAATGACTATGACAGGTTCTTATCTAAAGGGGGTCTAAATGGAGAATCGTAGCCTAACAGGTAACAACTGTTGTGATGAAGACCAAAAGCACACATTGCAACGTTCAAGTTATTTCTACCTATATATATTTAACAAAGGCAAAAAATAAGGCTTCAGTCAGAGCCACCTTAAATTGTGCTAAATGTTTTATCATGATATCTACAGCAGTTATTGCTTGATGCATAAAGTTTATATAAGGAATATGCAAAGTTACAGTAATTTTTTTTTTGTCTTTTTAACTGTTGTTTAATCCATACTAAGTACAGTAGATAAAATAGCAATTGTATTTTTAGTAACATTGGAAGTTTCTGAACCATTGCGTAAAACATTTGCTCTCCAGTTGGACCATTCTACTGGAAACTGTTGCAGCATTACGACAATATGTACATTTCAATTGCCCCAGCTTTATTTAGACGGAGAGAATAAAGACTGCTGTATATCTGACACACTGATGCTGTTTGTTCTCGTAAAGGGACCATGGACGAGTTTATCTTTACCTGTCAGTTCTGTTCGTTCGAAAATAGTACATAGGTCTACATCGCAGTAATAACGCATGCGCAAGTCTTCAATAACGCCCCGCGCTGTAGGCAGAGGAAGCCGTCTTGCTAAACCGTAACACATTCACATGCCTTTAGCCGGTAGGGGGGTAAACACGCACAACGGGACATACAATACATACTAAACTTCGAGACTGTTTCAATATCTTGGGTCACTAGCCGAATAAGCGCCATCCGAACTCCTAGGCCAGATCAACCAGAGAAATATGCACCAAAAATAATTTGCCATTCATTAATCTTGATGTTCTCGGCACTGCCCAATACCTTCACACAAACGATCACACTTTTCAATTTCCTTTGGTGCGAAACGTCTTTGAGATCATGAAATATGCCATCTACGAATTGCAGCACTTCCCTTATTTGAAAACTGTGCTTAGTGAGTGATAAGCTCCCGGGCTTTAAAAGAGATGTGCATGTAGCGGAATTTTTGAAAATTCAAACAATAGAAACTGCCCAAAGACCCACAGACTGAGTGAAACATTAATAGAAGCGCTCAAAACAAGAAAAGAAGGCAATAATAACACAGAAAATAAAAAGGAGGAACAGATGAACAGACCGGAAGAAGATTGAAACGGATTGTAATTGTTGTTGTGTGAAAACTTATTAGCCGAAAATTTTTGATAATTCACTTTTTTTGTTTGTTTGTAACGCTTGCTATAATGCTAATTAGACATATTTGTTGTCGCTGTGATTTTGCCATTCATAAGTTATTTCTCAAGTTCCATAGTGAATAAAGACGCGCATGCGCAATTGGCATTATTTGACAAACTGAATTAGACTGAACTCGCAGCAAATTCTGACAGACCGTGCGCTTAATTTTTCCTTATAACCAATGATTCCTTTATCTCCGTAAAAAGCTAGCATGCTAGTGGTGGAGAAGAAGCAATCCTTCGATGGTAAATTCATTCTGAACATTTTATGTAAAAAGTTTGGAGCTTGCTGATCAGAAGGAAACCTGACTGTTCAAATGCGCATGACCTCTAACCTATAACACGAGACTGGAATGACAAGAAACTTTCTTGACCAGTTCATGTAAAGTTTAAACCACAGTCATAACTGTTTTAATTGCCTTTTAGTCGGCAACCTGCGATCAGGCCCTATCTTTTTCTTTTTTAGAAGAGAGGAGAAAAAAGAACGAAGGACATAAATAGAGATACTTGGGAGGGCACGATCGTAGGCTTTTTACTCTGGCTGCTAAGCAAAAGATAATCTAAAACAGCTGCCACACAATACATACTAACACGCGCTCTAGAGTCCTTACCTTGGCCTGCTAGGCAAGACGTGCCAGCAACAGGAAATTGAACGGTTCCAAGCATTCATTTCATAAGGTTTGCACCTGGTTGGCTTTTTGCCGAAACTATTTCTGTTTCAACGGTAAATGACGGACCAGGGGAGCTCATAGCTAAACTGAGATACACATACATTGCAGAAGGTTTCCTTATGTGCCACTTGGCACGTACATGCACATATTACAGAAAACTATAACAACTCCATCCTTATCTATTTTATTCCCTAGCTACTCAAACACTCGTAAGAAAACCCCAATTCAAAGTAAAAGAAAAGAGCCTGAGTAACCCCGACAAAAAGTTTAACCGAAGGGGTTTCCATTTCAAAGATGATGGTGAAAGTTAGAACAACGTTAACTAAAAAGAGGAAAACTGGTGCCCTTTCTTTCTGTTGTAACACTAACATGTATAGCCCCGGAAGAAAGTCTAGTTGGTGGTATTTTGGGTTGAATTTTCAAAAGTAAAAGACTTGAAAAACTTTTGAGCACTATTTAAAAAACACCTTCCGTTGTTTTTGTTCAAAAATGAATGCAAACTGACAATGGTGCGTGCCTGATATTATAACCTGAGTTTTCCGATCTGCCCAGTGGTGCTTTCTGAGTTTGAGAAAATGTGAAAATATTCTGAGTATTCCTTTTTTCACCCAGGCTATGTAACACTGACAGAAGGCAAAGACTCTCCCTTCCAAGGCAAAATAGAAACAGAAGTGGTTTCTTTCCTTTGTAAAATGATAATTTCTGTACTGACAAAGAAAACCGCACCAGTCTTTAAAATTGTTCTTTGTTACGCAAATTAATAGTTGTAAACGTTCATTAAAATTTTTTACGACCAACTATAGATCATTAAGTTGACACGTTCATGGGCCATTGGTTCACTAAAAAATGTAATTCTCTTAACAAATAAACTCATTTCAAGATACCGTATACATATTTCGGGAAACTATGTCTTTAAGATATGGTTAATTTCGTGGAGTCAGGTTGGCCGTATGTTAAGTTTGAGCGTACACCATTTTTGCGGTGATTCTTGAAAAAAAAAACTTTATCATTTTCTTTATATTTAATATTTGTCTTGGTCGTGTTTTCTGTTATTGAAACATGTCTTAAAAAGACTGAAGTTATCTTTTAGCACCCATAAGCAAACTCCACGAAAGTTAGAGAGTATACCTTTGATCACAGCGACCAAGTTGATTACCAATTATGTCCGGGGGTACAGCTCCCTATAATGACCTATACGGGTAGGCTCTGTCCGAAGGGGGTACCATTGTCAGGCCTCCGGGTGAAAGGGTAGAGAAATCTGTCATCTCGGTCAGTAGCAAGGCCCAAGAGGGCTGACAGATGGATTTTTATAGCTTTGAAAAAGTCGAGAAAACGTTCTGGTTTGGATTTATTCATATTTGAAAGACCGTGCATTTACAGCAGTTAAAAGGTGTAAAGTTCTGAGGGACTTGTCAGGATAGGAATTTTAAATTTGGGTTCGGAAATGAGGTGACCCATCCCTGCAATGGGAGTGAAATTTGCTAACCCTCCCCTTGACCTTGGCCAAAAATATCATGACCCTCCCCCTCTTGTATAAATGATAAAACCTAGTTCTTGCAATACACTTAGGGTGAGTCAGTATCATAAAAGCTCAAAATATATTTCTAATCTGTTCTTTGTAATGCCTTATACATACATTTTAGATGACAGCATTAAGAGTCCGACTCTGATTCTGACAGCTGATCACTCGACTCTCCTCCTATTTCTCCCAGGTTTTCTATACAAAATAAAGAACTTCTTTTTTCTTCTGTGGGTGAACCTCTACATGATCACGGACACATGTTTGCATGACCCTCCCCCTCTTAACGGCCCATTTTCATGACCCCTCCTTTTTCTGCAGTCTCAAAAAGTTGTGACCCTCAATCTGTTTCCACCCCATCTCCCCCTGCTAATTTCTGACAAGTCCCTGAAATAAGTATATCAAAGGAGTACCATTTTTCAATATCAGGAGCGAAAAGGGCACCTTTTTGTCAAAAATGTTGTATTATTGGGTAAGGGGTTAGACCCTGGGACAGAGCCTCCCCGTATAAAGCTATGTTGAGTGTTGAGTCCCCCCGGGTAAATTTAGTGAAACATGCAGCTACTCAAGTGGATCTATTTATGGTATTTATAGCAGCCTAAGGCGAGGTCCTAAGCGGCATTCCACATGACCCCATTCAAAGCCAATCGACTTTCACGTATATTGTTTCAACATAATAGGATCATTGTATTACAGTCACACAGCCTTATTTACGGTGGTCTTATCGCCTATATATACATTGAACTTGTGACAAGCGCAAGCTCTTGTTGTGTACGTTTCCCTTGAGGTTTACATAAAGAACAGTTAAGTCTTTTTTTATTGCTCGTGCACGAGTGCCTTTCTACATACAGTCGAGC